TAAATTTTATTTTTCTAGCAATAATATATTACTTATAATAATCAATTAATTTATTATTATTTTTATAATTCATTAATTAATTCCAGATTTATTTCTTCTAATTAAATAGAGCTTCTTCATCATAAATTACTAAAAATTAACAGTTATCCCTTCACTCAATATCATTTAAAACTGGATAATTATCTATATAGATTATATTTAACAATTAAGTAATTTATAATATTTTAGAGATTATATAATTATATCAAATTTAGAAATTTAAATCTATTAGATTTGGTTAGTTAAAACCAGATTCATTTTTTATATAGAATTTGAATAGAAGTTTATATATATAAAACTTTACTAATTCTTAATATAATTAAAAATAATCTTAAATGATGCTTGTAATTTTGTCAGAGCTCATAATGATTTGTATCTTTCAGATACATATATTAATGTTTTTACATCATTGAGATGGAAATGTTCTAGAGATCATGAATGAGATGCTTCACTTGATAGAATAAAATATAAGAATACTTGATGCCCTGTTTGTGCAGGTTGATATTCTTTTCATCTTGAAATCACTAAAAAGATTGCTATAAATAAAGATGGATTATATCTTTTTATCCAATATACAACTATCAAGGAATTATTAGAGTGGAGATGCTCTAAAGATCATGAATGGTCAGCAATCTATAACAATGTTATATATAGTAAAAATTGATGTATAAAATATTCGCATAGAAAGTCTTGTACTCTTGAAGATGCTATAAAAGTCACATATGCTAGAAATGAAAAATGTCTTTCTAAAAAATTTATTAATGATAAGTCACTATTATTAGGGTGCTATGCTGTAAGTCATGAATAGAATGCTAGTCTCGATAGTGTAAAAAATAAAAAATATATGGTATCCACATTGTGTAGGAGATAGACCCCGATATACTCTTGAAGATGCTAGAAAACTTGCGCATGATAAAAATGAGAAATGTCTTTCTGAAAAATATATTAATAGCATGATAGCTTCATTGTGGCGTTGTTCTAAAGAGCATGAATGGAATGTAACATTTAATAGCATTAAAAATGCAAATTCATGATGTTCCCATTGTTCTGGACGATATGCTTGTAATATTGATCAAACCAAGCAAATTGCATTTAGCCGGAATGGTGAGTGTCTCTCTACCTTGTATTTTAATAAATTATTCAGATCTATTATGGAAAAATGTTAAAAGACATGTTATGTCGTGAAATTTTAACAGAATATCTTGGATCTCCTTCACTAACCCGCAGACCTGAATTCTTAAAAACACCAGAACATTCCATAGATTTAGAACTTGATATATTTTATCCTGAATATGGTTTTGCAATTGAAGTACAAGGAGTGCAACATGAAAAATATATCGAATTCTTTCATAATGGCGATCCCAATAATTTTATTAAACAGCAAGAGCGAGATCAACTCAAGAAAGAATTGTGCGAAGAAAACTGGATTGCTTTAAGATATATAGTTATTCCAGAACATCTTCGAGAATTGGGTCTTATTAAGTAAACTTAAAACTTTAAATACTTCTACGTTTTACTTATCAGGTAATTATTTTTTTCAGTAAGCATATATTCCGCAAAAATAATTCAGTTTCCAGTTATTTATTTATATACTAAGAATTAACAAGTAGTAAGCTCAATATTCAAAATATTACTAACATCAAGATTACTTAATGCAAAAAAAAATTCTCTCTACTTTAATTTTATAACAAAAAAAGCTAAGATAGAAAAATAAACGATGATTATATCAATCAAAAACATGTAGTCGTTCACAAACATCAAAAGTATTGGCCCTGCGAAATTCCACCCAATATACCCGTCCAACAATAGGATCTTGTCGTCCTGTCACATTGTTATGATAGTTTTCATATAATCGTGCAATAGCATGTTCCATTGTTTGCATATCGTTAAGTGCGAATACAGAATTTGATTGTGCCAGGTCTGCCCTTGGAAATGCGATAGGAGTATAGTTTGGAGTTCCTCTGATCACTAATCCAAAAAATTGTTAGAAAACTTTTTTAATAGATTATATAATATTTATGTTATACCTGCGCTAACATCATTTTCCGTGATATTTCGGACTGCGAGACCCGGTGGAGTGAAAGTTCGGCTTGCGAGACCCGGTTGATTATATTCGATGATTAATAATGGGTCGTTACAAAAAATTTCATCGTCATCATTCCTATGTTTATTTTGAATAATGTCACCCCATAAAGCAACTTGTTTTTTTGTTTCTTAGAAAATCCCGTTGGAAATTTCATTTTTACATTCAAGTAGTTTTCCCTAAGAAATATATTGTGAGTATCAGCATTTGTCAATTTGAAAAATGACGAATGTACCTTATCCACTTGTATCCAAAATACGAGAAGAGCGTAGTATCCGATTCTTGTCATTTTGGATAAGTACGACAAAAATAAAAGAGGTAATTGCTTGTTTCATAATCACATGGTAACAAAACGACCTATCAAGATTATATTCTATATTTTAGTGCTCCTTGATTATCAATACATGCTTGAATCCGTTTTGTCATACTTTTAACTATAACGCATTAAACAAGATTTTTTCATAGCATAACGATAGCGATAGTTTATTATATTATTACATAATTATTAAATACATGATTTAGATAATAATATATATTTCTATTTTCGTTCATGCATCATTGTCCGGTTGTCCATTCACTTTCTTCCATCGAGTGTATATCGGATTCATTTTTTGTGCATTCGAAATAAATTATATTAAAGTCTCAGTAATATATAAAATGGCAGAATTAAGTGATAAATTATTCCAATATATAGGCTTTGAGCCTGAAAAGATCCGTCTCCCAATCACAGAAGAAGATAGATAGCTTTTTCAAGAATTAATAGCAGATCAAGAGGAGATGACAGATATTGTAATGAATGAATATAATCATTTGCTTCATACAGGCTATAACTATAAAGGAGGAAGATTATTGCATATAATGTGGGTATCTATATGTACTGAGGGCGATGCTAAGAAAGTGTTGATAGATATACCTCCATCAAAGATATTATCGAGAAAGGTTTTAGCCCATATCAAAAAAAGATTTGAGGATCTACCACTTGCACCAGTAATTATAATCGATTAGATGTAAAAGACCTCTCAATCTTATTATGCCTGGCTAAAAATTTGTACGAATTGAGTATGGATTTCTTCCCATTCTTTCGCGATCTGCTCCAATTCCGCGATTCTAATTATAAGCCTGGCATTCTCTTGTTTTAACAAATCTAGTTCGGATTTTGTGTTTCCCATTGTTTTATA